CACTGTGGAAGGGTAACACTGGAAACTCTGAAGTGGTATCATTCTATGGTTGCTCTGTGGTCAGTTACTGATCCCTTCCCAAAATGGCACATGATTAAATACTCTCTGGTAATATGATGGAGACTGAACTGGATTTCTTTTCCGACTCTAGCCTGTTGTAAAGAAGTCACATTCAGAGTAAACCCACGCTGTCTTTTTAGTTTACAATAACCATGGGCTTTTCTTGAGGCCAGAGTTTCTGATCCAGTCTGTTATTTCTCTATGGATTTTCTGACTCTCTGGGGCTTACCTTCTCTCCCAGCATTGACCTTATCCACAGTCAGGTTCGTTGGTTGGTCAGAACCTCTGCTTCCCCAAGGTGAAACAAAATTCAGAGCCACCTTGGAGTTGGAGAGTGGCTGAGGCCAGGGCATGTAATCCACAGGTGTGCAGTTGGTCAGGGGCCAAAGCACAGCTGGCATCATCTACCTGTGGGGTACGATGCCAGAAGGCATTCTTTTATCACTTCTTGGCCTTTTGGCTGAGATAAGTGTAGAAGGCATTCTTTTAAGTACTATAGTTTCTAGATAAAAGTCCTGTTTGATATTTTTATAAAATTGTGACTGATTTAAAAAAAAACTTAAGTTGCTATTTAAATAACTTAACTTGAGATGATTTGTCTCTATATTTCATGGACCTAACATATATACTATTGGACGTGGAGCAAGCTCAATAAATGTTGGCTGATTGAATGAATAATAATTCTCATTTTTGAATTTTTATAATTTACAGTGGTACCTCAGTTCACAAATGCTTTTGTTTTTTTAACAGTTTGGTGGCCACTATTTCCGAAGTTGTGGAACAAATTAACATCATGAACTGAGGTACCACTGTATTCTTAGTACTATGGATTAATGCCAGGGTCTTTGCACTGTTACATCCCAGCCCTTTAAAAATTTTTATTTTGAGAGAGAGTATCCTCCTAGTTGATCCTTCCAGAGTGTTAGTGTCATAGGAATGCACTGCCACATCTGGCTATTTTTAGTTTTTTTTTTTATTTTCACTGAACATCCTAAGGTAATTTGTATTACCACCTGCATTTTTCAAATGGAGAAACCAAGTTCGTGCATTCTTTTATTGTTAAAACTGAAATTAGAATTAACACAACTATCTCCAAAGCCCTTGTGCTTAAACCACATCAGTATCTTGCTTTTTATCTAATGTAAGAATTACTTTTAGGGTTATTCAAATCTTTAATAGAGTATTATGCTGATTTTCATAAGCCACAGTTTAAAAAGAATGTAGGGTAGGGATCTGTAGCCTTGGATCTTTAGATTCTTGGTATAGAGTCCCCAAGGGCCCCGGAATCTCATGAAAATTGATGTGAAATTTTGCATATACATATAAATGCATTACTTTCCCTTGAGGCAAAGTCCATAACTCTCATCATAGTCAAAGAATTTTTAGATACTAAAAGATTAAAAACCACAGATAAGAAAATATTTGGGTTTTCTCTGATATAATCAGAATTATTAAATGTTCACAAATACAGGTGTACTTATTTGAAGAGTTGTCCACAGATAACTTTTTATCTCTGCAAAAGATATTTTGGTTAGGGACTGATAATTAAGGTTTATTAGGTACAACTAAGTGCTGAGTGATTAAAGTATGCCAACTTCTAAAATTCTTGTATCATTACCAGAAAACCATTATTTTACAAAGTGGGTGGAGGTACATCCAATAACATACTGATAAAAGATATATCTAGGATTTCCAGTCCTAATTCTGAAGCCAATATTGTTTAACCTTGTGATTAGCCACAGCCACTAAGTGTGCAGGCCATTCAGTACAACCTGGGAGCAACCCTACCTACAAATAAAGGCTGAGTTTGTATAGTATCGTAATGCCATTTTGAAGGATAAGAATTCATTCCTGCTGTAAGAAAATGCCTTATGTTTTGCTGATGTTGCTTCACATCACTACATTCTCCTCTCTGGGACTCCCTTCTAGGCAGACCACCTAGCTGCAGAGTGAAAGCTCACCAAACTGTCACAATGGCTAGTTCTTAAAATAGATGCAAGCTTCTGATAGCCACAGGTCTAGCCTTCCTGTCTCTATTGTCTGCTTGAACAAACTTTCAGACTTCCTATTATCAAAGCTGCAATTTTAGTTTCCAAACTCCTGGAAATGGAAAATGGGAATTGATCAGAGAGTTTCTTTCTTAAGCTGATAACGCTATGTCTTCTCCTTGACCATTGTCTCCTGTCCCACCACCTCCCTTGCCTGAGAATATCTTTGTGAAAATCCATTTGTTTATCAAGCATTTAAAATCACAGGCCAGGTTTTTAAATCTCTTGAAGATTATTCTTCCCTCATCAATAATACCACCTACAGTGGAAGGCTTCAAAGAAGCAGGTAGAGGTATTTCCAGTGGACTCCTCTGTGATATGGGGAAAAGACTGGCATGGTGGGGTGGGTATTTCTCCTAACTTTGGGGAGAGGACCCTTCCAAAGAGAAGGGCTTCCAGCCTCTATTCCAAGAAATCCACCCCAGCTGTGCTAAGTATCAACCCCAGCTGTGAATTAGTAAAATCTTACAGCTGTGCTACTGCACTTTACTAGAATAGGATGCTTAGGAGAGGAGCGTGGAGATGGGACAGAAGAAGGTGTTATGAAACCAGTTACTGTGGCATAAGAAAGAATGAATGAAGATTTACTTACATAGAAAAGAGTTGCATGTAACACTGAGAAAAGCTGATAAGAGAGCTGAAACTATATTCTATGAATAGATGCTTTGCTTAATAAAAGGTTTCCCAAGTTCTCTTTAAATTGTGAGTTGTCCTTTCTAGTATATTATAAATGATTCTATGGTTTTCTTAAAAGGGGAGAAAGGCTTTTCATATAAAAATTTCAAAATGTGTATATATCTTCATTGTGAAAAGTATAAATCATATTGTACAATTAAGTATAATTGTATTCCCAGGGTTGCCATAAGAAAGAACCACAATCTGGATGGTTTAAAAACAACACACACACAAACAGAAAATTTATTGTTTCCCACTTCTGGATGTTTGTAACTGAAATGAAGATAGTGGCCAAGATTCCTGTGAAGATTCTTGTGAAACCTGAAGGGGAATCTGTCCTTGCCTCTCCTGCCATCATTGGCACTCTTAGCGTGTAGTTTTATCAACCCAAATCCTCATCTCCATGTGGTGTTCTCCCCAGGTGTCTCTTCACATGGTCTTCCCTCTCTGCACATCTATGTCTGTGTCCAGATCGGTCTGTCTCTGTCTCTGTCTTTCTCTGTCACTGTCACTGTCTCTGGCCCTGGCCCTGGCCCTCGCTCCCCAACTCTCTTGCTCTTTCTCCCCGTCACTGAAACACCTACTTTATTGACCTCATTCTTAACTACATCTGTAAAGACCCTGAACACAATTCAACCAATATCATAGTAATCATGAAAATATGACATTTAAAAATATAATTATTTTAAGGTCCAACATGACTCCTCCTCCATTCAGCCATGTTGAATACCCCTGGAAAACCTTTTATTTCTTCAGTCTCAAAGCTAGTACATCAACCCTCAGTCTAAACTGGGCAGGCAGTTGCTGGGTTTGGCCTTTTGTCTCACAAGTGTACTGTCGTGTTTTTTTCTTTTTAATGGGTCATTTTTGTATAAAATGAACACCTGGGGAACTAACCCCAATGTAGGACAGATCTGCAGTCACTCTGCCTCACACATGGATGCCACATGGCTGCCCTCAGGGCATTGCTGGAAACCTGTGTTCTTCCTCCTCCCACCTTCCCGTTAGTTCCACTTGGAGATAATGGAAAATTGACTGCGAGTTCAAAACTCAAACTGTTATCCTTAGGTAAATACTTGTTGTTAAAATATGCCTTTCAAAGATGTATTCTCAAAGAAAAGTTGTTGTAATGTGGGTATGACTTTGATAATAGTTTTTTTCAGTATTTTGAGTAGTACTGTATTAATTTTTATAATAGAAAACATAGTAAATTACAAATTTACATGCTAAAATTAGTGTGAAGATAGTTTTACATGTCTGACCATGCTTGAAAAGAAAAGATATTTAAGATTACAAGTCAGAGTACCTTGGCTGTGTTTTATTAACTTCCATGAACTTAATTCTTATTTTAGTATTGTTTTTCCAATGAGTATATTTATATTGTCAAACGTGGTAGACTAAATATAATAAAAACCATTGTCTTAAAGCTGGATAAAAAAGTGAGTCTGTGAGTCACTTCAGAATCATTACCCTTTAGCCTTTCAAAAATATTTTTCAGGGTCTATCTTATTCAGCGATCAAGTTTGTGTTTCCAATTACTAGAGTCAGTTAACTGGTTTATCATTTCAGTGTTGTGCTCTGTAGAAAGAAAAGCTGTCATATGACAAAGCATAAAATACCTTCGGTTTATGTGAGATCTTGGTCATGGCTACTCACAATGATGTATTTTTATTTTTTAGTGTTCATCAATAGCTGCTTTTCTACTCTTGTTCCCTGGGAATTGGCTTTCCCACCTAGTTTTTCTGTTGTCTCACTTTGAACCTCATCAAGGTTAGGCTCTATTTAACACATATGCAGATCAAAGAGGCTATAATTATCTTCAGTAAGTAAATCTAACCATAGAATCCTGTAGAACTTTTAGGAAGTTCATTTCCATATACATCTCCCATGGTTTCACACACACACACACACAATTATACCCCCTAATTTATACTTACAAATACCATGTATTACTTATAATATTTTATTTTCTACACATTTAACCAAGACATAATTGTCAGGCAGTGACAGTGGACAGCATAGCTACATTCCTGTACTAGTGACCATTGCAGAGGCCTAAATTTCCAGCCTCTTGGTTTACACAACAGTATGATGAAAATATTTTACACTTGCTGCTTTTCAATACATTTATTTGGAGAATATTAGTACCGTGATCACTCAACTTCCCCGGATCATCAGATCAGGCAACAGAAAAAGTTCATGCAACTTGTCCAGGAGTGGATGACCACCTTCATAATTGCCTCCATCTTCTATTTTATTAGTGATGATTCATAATCCAAAATAAGTTTAGGAACTTTTCTCAAGAGGAGAGACTTGGAGAAGATGTCTGAAACAATTACAGTGATATCCTTTTTCTTTTATGAAATGTTAACTGCATATTTCAGTCTTGTGGAATCTTTTGTGTTATTCTGATTGTCAATAAGAACTAAAGGACTGTGCTGATGATTCTTGATGATTTCAGCAACGCTTTCAAAATACTACAGAAAGAAAATATAGATGAATTAGACATTGACATTTATGTTAACTTCATGCTCCACTCCTCACATCTTCTACTTCCTCAAGTGAATAAGTTATTGGGTCCCAGATGATATTCTGCTTTAAAAAAAAATCTAGTTTCACAAAGGCTGTAACCTTCAGAGTGGCATACTTTCCTATATTTGGGCCTTCCTATTTTGGTAGGATTTAAAACATATTGAAAGGCTCAATTAGCGTAATTACTTGGAGAAATTTCTTGGAGTTATGATGTAATATTTTAATATTTTGCTTTTTATTTAGAGTCAAGTGTGAAACTATCATACAGTGAGATTTTCTACATTCTTTACGGAGACACAAGTTTCTTTTTTCTTTTTTCTTTTTTTTGGTACCGGGGATTGAACTCATGTCCTTGCACTTGCAAGGCAGGCCACCGAACCGCTGAGCTAAATCCCCAGCAAATTTCAATGAAAGGTGCTATAGTTTGAATCTTCAATGTCTACCAAAGGCCTATGTATTAAAGGGTTGTTTACTGGGGTGGTACTATGGAGAAATACAGAACCTTTTAAAAGGTGGGATCTGGGAGGAGGTCCTCAGTTCACTGGGGGTGTGCCTTCAAAGGGGATTGTGGGACCATGCTCTCTTCCTTTTTTTTACCTTCTAGCAATGAGGTGAGCAGTTTTGTTCTCACTGTCATGCCATAATGTGCTGCCCCAAGCAGTGGACCAAACTATCATTGGCTGAAAACCCTAAACTGTGAGCCAAAACAAACCTTTTCTTTTTATAGGTTATCTCAGGTATTTTGTAATAGCAAGAGAAGCTAACTGAAATGCAAAGATTGATTTTCTTTTCTCGAACAAGTAAAAAAAGCTTTATAAACCCTCACATTTATAACTGTGCCTGACTACTGGTAAGCGTAGAGTTAAGATTGCCTAATTAATAATGAAACTTCATGCTAGGTTCTCACCACACATATTTATTTTTCCATATTTTAATCTCTCTTGTCTATGGGTTTTAAGGCTGTAAAAATTTTGTTCTGAAAAGTTATCAAAGTTTTAAATAAAATATTAATAAGAGGAGGGGGTGAAGGTAGGGCAGGGACAAGGGGAAAAAATGAGAACCAAGACCTATCATATAGACGTACAGATCCCAATAATGAATGTAACTGTACTGTATACCTAAAATGTACCAATAAACTCAATTAAAAAAAGATTAATATGTATAACACAAACCATGAAATGAAATGCACTGAGTACCCCAAAACGCTACAAATTCAGTCAACTAAATACATTTAGAATCATTTTTAAAAGCAATTATTGAAAAAGCAATAATTGTTCCACAACTATGCTGCCAATCTAATAATTAATATCAATTTATTTTATTATCTCTTAGTTTTCAAATTGGAAAACTGGAATAAAAAATGTAAAAATGCTTAATTATTCAAAGGCTTCTAAAAATTATATATTCAATAAAGTAAAATATTCAGAATATTGGCCAAATTTTAAAATGAAATGCCTATCATCTTTTAGATATCTGGCTATATGAATACTAGGTGAGGGAAAAGAGGAAAGAGACAGGAACCTTCAAATACTATTTTTATTCCTTACTGTCTCTTCAAACATTCAGCCCTCTTGCAATTGCTAATGAAATTCTCTTATGACAAATCTGTAATACTTTTATTCCATTTGTTTAGTATAGCATGTGATTCAACCAAATGCAGTTGGAAATTATATTTATATACTAAAGGGCTAGAAAAATGAAATAGCACAATTTCTCTGAATTTCTCTGGATTCCAAATGAAAAAATGTGTTTTGAACCCAGGAAGCATAAAAAAGAATTGCTGTACTTACACTGATTACCAACTTATTCCGTCCATCTAATCACTGAGTGTTTTTGTAATGTTGCTTTGTTGTATCTGGGTACTGAAATGTTTTTAGGAGGGACTTGAATTGGACAATTTGAAGAAGGGAGTGTAATTGAAGCATATTTGTAATTTATAGAAAGGTGAATCAGGCATATTTATTTGCCGTTTCCCCTCAGTTCTTGCTCTTTTTTCTGTTCACCTTAATTCAGTGTATTTGAGATATTCATATATCTAAAAAAAACAATGTTTGATAACTCAAAATTTCATGACCAATAAAATAAAGCAGAAGTGGTCATAACTATAGAATTACTTCATAGTGTATCAAACAGTGCCAAAAAAAAATGCATGAAAAGGTAAACAATGAATCAACTGGTTACTTTACTGACTCATACATAGCCAAGACAGACACAAACATGGACTTTTAAAAATGTAGACATACTAGGCTGCTTCCAAGATTTAGCTATTTTATGCATGTATCATTGTAATATGCTATTTTTAATTTTGAGGGGAAGATACTTGGAGAATAGTTATGTCAAATGAAATTTCTATTTTTAGCTTTTTGAGGAATCTCCATACTGATTTCCATAGTGTTTGCATTAGTTTACATTTCCACTAACAATGTAGAAGGGTTCCTTTTGGATATTACACTGGCATAAATAAAGATAAACTTGAGTCTTTGTAGGAAAATGGACTCACCTTGAGACCATCCTGTCATGTTTAATAAATCAGACATACAAGGGTAAGTATTGTACGTTTCTCTTTTATGAGAAACCCAAAATATAAATAAAGAGCAAAATAAAAGATAGGTAATAGGAAACAGGGAGATGGATCTTTCTCAAATAAAAAGATGCACAGATGGAGGCAGGGAAGGGAAGGGGATGAAAAAAAGAAATTAAGATATGTTATGTACATGTATCAACTCCCCACAAGGAATGTAAACATTATGTTCTGTTAATATGCACTAATAAAATAAATAAATACATTTTAAAAAATTCAGATGCCTGAAAAAATAGACACAATTGGTGTCGTAACCAAAATTTTAATTTTCCATTTGGATGTTCAGCATATGGCAGACATGATTTTTAAAAATTATACATAATTTAATTAAAAGCTTAATTGACTGACTATCAATATACCACATGGTCACTACAATAATATATTACTGATATTGGTCCATGGGCTTGAGATAGTGGGAGTAGGGTGGAATGCTGATGTTTATATGTATAGTTACTTATATATATTTATATATATACAAAACAGAGAAAGTAACAAATGTCGGTGAGGCTCTGGAGAAGTTGAACTCTTGTGCACCTCTGGTGGAACTGTAAAATGATGTCACTGCTTTGGAAAAATGCGCTTCTTCAAAAAATTAAAAATAGAATTATCACATCATCTTGCAATCCCATTTTGAGAGATCCAAAATAATTGAAACAAGAATCTTGGAGAGGTATTTGTAAAGCCATATTTATAGCAGCACTATTTATAATAGTCAAAAAGTGGAAGAAACCCAAATGTTCATTGATAGATAAGAGGAAAAACAAAATGTGCTATATTCATATAATAGGTGCTATATATATATATCCTTAAAAATGGAGGAAGTCCTGTTACAAGCTACAGTATAAAAGGATATTCTGCTAAGCAAAATAAGCCAGTCATATATTTTTTTAAAAAGGCAGGGGGCTGGGAATTTAGTCCAGTGGTTCTGCCCCCTACTGCAAAAGCAGAAGGTTCCAAGTCCGATCCCCGATACCAACAAAACAAAAAAAATACAGTATTATTTCTCCTACATGAGGTACCCAGTATATAGTCAAATACACAAATAGAAAGTAGAATGGTGGTTTCCAGGGGCTAGAGGGAAGGGGGAAAGAGGAGTTGTTTAATAAGTATAGAATTTCTGTTTTATAAGATGATGAAGTTCTAGAGATCTGATTTACAACAATGTAAATATATTTAACTGTACACTTGAAAAATGGTTAAGGAGATAAATTGTATGATCTATGTCTTCTTACCACAATTCTTTAAAAAGGCAAATTAAGGAATACATAAGACTTTTTCTGTCAGTTTTATAAATGCTGTTCTACCTATAACCACTCAAGCAACAATTTGATTCATTCATTAGTATGCCTTTATCAGGTGTCCACTGAAGCCTGCCATTGTACTTTTGTTCTGAAAATACAAAGTTGAACAAGGAATGGTTGCTGTCTTCATCCAGTATAGAAGACTGATGCTTCACCAAGTATAACACTTTCTAACAAGTGTTCTTTCTGACAATAGGTGTGGTTTCTTCTGAAGAAATCTCAAAAAAAAGTGTGTTGTGGTACTGAGGATTGAATCAAGAGCCTTTGTACTGAGCTACATTCTCAGCCCCTTTTATTTTATTTTTATTTTGGGACCAGTCTTGCTATATTGCTAAATTGCTCACAGTAGGTGCAAACTTATGGTCCTTTTGCCTCAGCTCTCAAGTAGCTTGGATTATAGGTGAGCACCACCACTCACCGTTAAGTATTTTTAAAATTGAACTTCGTTTATTCTATTTTCTCTGCTTAGATTGTACTTTGCACTTAGTTTTCCATCTAACTTTCACCTACTGATCCAAAATTCAACCCATCATTTGGACCAAAACAACTATCACTCTTTCTGGACCATTCATGGATTATACCAGTTCATATTATAGGGCTCATTTATCAGAACAGGGTGGTTAAACTGAGGTATGCTAAACTTTGATATTGATGCAGATTAAAGAGGCATTGAAGTTCGTATTTGGTTGATACTGTAAGACCCATGTGATTTTTGTTTTCATGCTACCGGCCCATGAATTGACTCTGGTCCAAGGGCTATTGTCTAATGCTTCAAATGAAGTTCCCGCTCCTCTTCTGGATCCTTCCCTAGTCTCCTAACTTGGTACCTGAGTTGAAATTCTAGGTCTTGACATTGGAGGTCTAGACAATGACCTCGGCATTTTTACAACTTTAATTTTACTTGGCATTTCAGCCTTAACATTTATGCCTCCTGAACTAATATCATAGGTCAGTTGGACTTCATTAACTGGGTACAAGGAACAGGATGTATATCACTTCATTTTTTTCTTTGCTATTTCTCATAGGATATATTGTCCCATTGTAGTATTTTATCTTGTACTCTATTTATGAAGAACATGCAAGCTAGGACCAAGGATTCTTGTATCCCTTCTCTTCATCCACAGTACCTAATAATGCAAGTACCTAATAATGTAATATGGTCTCATTTTTCTCAGTGCACAGTTTCAGAGCTGAATTAAAAGAGAAATTACTGACCTCTTCACCATTTTTCTTTCTGCCCAAAGCATATTGTTTGGTTGCTTCAATAAATCGCACAGGAATATTATAAACTCGCTTATTAAAGAATACAACTAGGGTATATGGCTGTTTGGAATCATGGCCAGAGCTTTTTCGAATAAGGAACGATCCATCCTGTTCAATAAAATAAAAGAATAATTATAGTTATTACTTTTTTTTTGATTCCAGGGATTGAACTCAGCACCTTGTGCTTGCCAGGCAGACATGGTACCCCTGAGCCACATCCTTGGCCATAATATATGTATTCATAAATTGAATTTCTAGCCTACAGAATTATAAGTAATATTGGGGCTAGGGATTTAGCTTAGCAGTACCTGTACCTGCCTTGCAAGCACAAGGTCCTGAGTTCAATTTCCAGTATGGCAAGGAAAAAAAAAAAAAAAAGGAAGAAAATGAATACATATATTACCTAGCTACAGTTTTTTGTTACATCCTGAGTGAGGTCAAGGCTAGTTTTTTCTGTGCGTTAACTAAAGTATTACTTTTATATGATTTAGAAATGTGTAAAGGGCCACATGGTAAAATCAAACCTAGAGAAAAAATCCCAAACCAGGAACCATGTTCACTAGTTGCCCATGAATAAAATAAGTATTAAATAAATTCCATTCAAAAGTACTATAAGAAGAAAATAGAAACCAAGAAACTAAAACTTTTAGTTGGCACAATTCTTTCTCCAAAGAACTTGTATTAAAGTGGAAAACACCCTACAGATAGTACTTCGATCTTTATCACATATTTTATAGGAGTATCCTAGAATTATAAATTCAAAAATTATGGACAATAAGCCAGAAGAAGAAATGCAACCAGAGTTCATTAGACTCAAGAAGGAAATTGAAAAAGAAAGAAAGAAGAAAGGAAGAAAGAAAGAAAGAAAAAGAAATCAAAGAAAAAGTTAAACCTATCTCAGAAATAAAGAAATTAGATACCCAAGAACTAACCCAGCCTCAAATAAAGAGTTAATATGGGACACTGAAGGAAGGTGTGAAAACAGCAGAGACATTTTTTAACATGAGAGTTAATAAAAGAAGTACAATGGAATCTGCAAGATGAAAGCCTGAGAAACAAGCCCTAAAATGCATATAAATATAAGTCTTTGAAGAAGAAAAAGAAAACAATGGACCAGAACTACCCTTTAAGACATTTAAGAAAAATTATTGGATATAAGAGAAAGCTTACATCTACGTATTGAAAGGGCTTCTGTCTACCTGAAGAGATCAACCTGGAACAATCTCAGGGACATATTCTGATAACAAAATTATATTTAAAAACAAAAACAAAAAAACCTGCAGTGCCTTCAGATTAAAGTATCAAATTATATGCAAGGGCAAGAAGGTAACATTAATATCAGGCCACTCAAGAGCTTCATACAGAGCAAGGCAATCCAGCAATGCAATTTTTAAAAACTCGAGCTATGGAATTTCTATTCAGCTAACATTTCCTCTAAATATCAGGCTAAGAACAAAATACTTTTTAATGTACAAGACCTTAAGGAATAATGTAAACACAGTTCTTCCTGAGAATCCCCAAGAAGTAAACTAGGTCAAACAAGAAATAACTGGAAAAGCCAGCCTAAGGATCGATAGACACCTTTAATATATTTAATTGTGGAGTTAGAACTAGAATTAACGTAGGGGAACAGTATGTAATTGTCATATATTCTGTCCAAACTGTCTCTAGTGTTTCTACATGATTGAGGTTGGGCTCTCAGAAAGTTATTTTCAGATTTTTTTTTTTTTTTGCCATCTTGACCCAAATTTTTATACCTATAAATAGACCCAAAATAGACTGCCACTGCTCATTTCTGAATAGAGCTTATCTAGAGCCATGCTTTCCAGAGACCTCCCCTGTTCATAGAGCAATGGAGCCTATGGAGCCTTAAGATGAAAGGACAAGTAGAAAGGAAGTGGGGAACAGAGAATGGATGCTCCAAAGAGAGGAGGGGATGATGACAGTTCCTCCTGCATAAGTAAAGGAAAAGGATTCCTGCATCCATACTTGTTACAGTTGCTTAATTAGCACTTATCAGGATAACAGTGGTGCCTATCACAGGCTGAGGACACAAAATGAAATTTAAAGACAGCCAAACCTTGTTTGATCTGTGTAATGCCTCTTCAGCTGACTTCCTATCACAGGCGCCAGCATACCATGGCTTACAGTGAAGGTCAGCTTCCTGTGAAACAGAGGCGTTGTTAAGCATGAACTATTCTTTAAAGGACTTGTTCATTTCTATGCACTGGAAACAAAGCCCCAGTTTGCATGACAGAGACAGGAACTAATAATGTGTGTTGGCGCCAATACGATAAAAATGAATTTTGTTCTTCCTTTGCCCAGCCACATTAGCTACTGGTAGCAGTCAGCTGGAGTAACAAGGACAGCTAGTCACTGGCTCTTTCCTATTGGACTTAGCTGCTAAACGTAGTACTTGAACATAACTAAATCCCACTAGTTTCCCAAACCGTTTATTCTTGCTCCTAAATAAGTTATACTTTCTCTTTCTATTGCTTTTATTCTTGCTGCCTTTTCAGTGTTTTATCACCCCTAAAGGGCTTTATGAATATCATCTTATGTGGTTCTTGTAAATAATGAAACGTGCTTTCTTTGAAAACAAGAAGCACACATGCTATCACTTCTGTTTTACATCTTTATGTAAAAACATATCCCTAACCCTGTAAACGCAGACTGTCCAAGTGCAGGTAGAGTCGTTTCTTCCTCTTTAAACTATGATGTCTTTTATGTGTTTCAATATCACGAGTCTCTTGATAGGTCTATTCACAGAAATTGCAAAGTTTAAATTAAATGTGAAAAGCAATACATTTCCTTGCTATTTTTTAGAAACATTACTTGTTATTCAGGGCATCTGGAATACAAATTAGAATAAATGGAGCAAGGTCTTAGTCACTGTAAAAACATAGATTATTTGTATCCTTCACAAATGGAAGCACATAAACCAATTTAAATCTACAGGGTCTATTCTTAAAACCTTCTGTACTCAGAAGACCTGTCCTCTCCTGTAGTTTACTGATAATAGTTTAATGAGATCCTCAGTTCATACGTCTGACAATTAGCTATTGGTAGCAATCAGTTGGGGTTATAGAAACAACTAGTAATCCAGGTTAGCATGAGTTTAGCTTTATTATTCTAAATTATTCACACAGTACTTATGTACCTGAAACATTATGTATAAATATAATCACTTTAAGTGCATAAGAAATCTTTGTAAACGAAATATGCTCTAACATTCATGTACAAATCTGTAATAACCTTGGCCAAGTGAAGTCACTCACTGCAAGAACCAATTTAAAGACCTTCATTCTGAGAAAAAATAAAAAAAGTTTCTACCACACCTGTTCTGAAAAGGTAGAATTAGATGAAAAACTAAGGGATGGTCCATCCATAGTTGGGCTTCCTCCTTCTGGAAATCCTGAAAAGTGTTTGAAGAATCAATTAATCCCCACTATTACTTGTGCATTTACTATGTGTGTGCCTCATTGCTGTGGTGGCTGGTACAGTGGACACATAAACCAAAGGCATCTTTAAGACCATGGTTCCCAAAGTGTGGTCTAAGGACCCTGGGAATCTCCAAGGTCCATTCCAGGGTTAAACAGGTTTTTGCTTTTCTAACTACCTATCTTTGTGAAGCCTGGTTTTCTTCATATATTTTAACCATAAAAATATACTGCAACAGATTGAATTAAAAACTTATGGTAAAATCCAGCAGTCTATTATTCCAGTTATTAAAGGGATTTATAAAATGTAAAACAATGCCACTCTTCCCACTAAATTGTTTTTCTTTAGAAAATGTGGTGATTTCTCAAAAAACATGCTATTTATGTTCACATATTATTTTTAAATGGATAATGTGTTTAAGTTTTATTTCTTATTACACTAAATACCAATAGAAAGAAACATGTAAATCCAAGTTCTTTAGGTCTACAATGACTTTTAAGGGTTAACATGGTCCTGAGACAAAAACATTTGAGAATCTTTTCTTTGAGAATAAACTCCCTCAAGTTTACAATCTAAATGTAGTGATAAAGGAAATAAAAAAGGTACAGAGAATTAGAAAGAAATAAAGAAAAAATAGATAAAATATATGAATTCCTTCTTCTGTGTGTGCTGCCATAGGTCAAGGCACTGTGGATATACAGCAGAAACAAAACAGCAAAATGACCCACTTTCCTGGATCTTGAATTTTAATGAGTTGAACCAAGTGACAGAGACAAAAGTAAATATATACACAATATTAGAGAGGCATAAATACTACTGAGAATGATAATAGGAAAGGAAGGCCTCAATGAGCTGATACCTGGGTGAAATCCACAGTTGGAGAGGGAGGAGGTGTATAAATATTTCTGGAAAGAATGTTCAGAGAGAAGAGTGAGTGCAAGGATTTGGAATATTTGAGGAAGAGCAGAGAACCATTGAACCTGGCATAGTGAGGAAAGGGGACAAGAGTAAGGGTGAAGTTAGACAGGAGGCAAGAAGAATCTGATTTTGTGATCAAATTAATAGGACTTGGTGGACTCTAACTAGGACTCAGGCTTTAATGAAAAGATACAGGAAGCTTTGGAGGATGAGTAACATGATCTTGCATTACTTGTCACTCGGTTACTCCGGCTGCTGTGCCAGAAGTAAAAAGGGGCAAGAGCAGAGAGCAGAGGCTATTCAGTGTTCTTGCCAGTGCTGGTAGCCAGGAACAGACCACAGCATGGAAGTGGCAAGAGTGGTTCGATTTGGGATATAATTTAAAGGAACAGCTTGGGAGGTGTATGACTAAGGCAAATGAGATTCTAAGGTTTCTGACCAGAGCAACCAGAGTTGTCCAGTGATAAGACAGGGAAGTCTGCAGGATAAGTTTGAAAGAACTAAGGGTTTCAGGCATGAGTGCTCTGGATGTTCAAAGAAGGCAGCCACTGCTTTAACAGGAGGGAGCCTGGGGAGGGTTCAGCAGCACACGAACGATGGGCCTGTAGGAAGAGTGGCTTCTGCAGCGAGTGAGGCACTCGGAACTTGAAGAGCAAAGGTAAGTGGGTGGTAACAATTCTTTGTGCAAGGCACACAGTTTGGGTAGAGGGTGGTTTCTACAGTTTGCAGAGTACTCATGGCTAACATTTTCAGAGCCCCAAATATGTACAAGGGCTGCTCTGTTTTCAACGTATTAGCTCATTTTGTCCTCACCCCTGCTCTTTGTGGGAGGAACTACTGTACCTCATTTTATAAAAGACGCTTTCCCAGACCACCTTATCTAACGTAGCAACCCTCACTGCCTCCATTAGTCTCTGCCATCCATTCCATTGCCCTGTTTTTCTTTGGCATAGACTTGATATGACATCGCTTATTTATATGTTCGTATTTCCATCACCTCGTCAGAGTGTAAGCTTCATGACGACAGGGCCTTTGACTCATCCTGGTATTTCCTGTGCCTGGAAGAGTGCCTCACATATGCCGGATGGTCAGTAATGATGGAAAAAATGACTTGGGTTGAAAAATAATAAAAGATATAATAAAACCTTTTAAATAATGAAAAAGTAAATTTCTATAGTCAAATTATTTTTGCTTTTGTGTGATCAAAATTAGAAGTAAAACCATTTGGAAGAAGTTTTTTTAAAGCAAGTAAAAATGATTATTAAAACCTAAATAATTTGTTTAGCAAAAATGCACATAAAATTTTTATAAATTATTCTGAGAATTATTATGAATTATTCTGATAATTTGTATAGATTTAACCTTGATTGTTTTGGAACATATTTCAAATTATCCATGTAAGGTGGTTTTCCTTTTTTTCTACTATATTGAGTAGAAAGAAAATTAAGGTCTGGGCAGTAATGGTCTGTGAGCCTGAAATATCTGATTCATACATTTAAAAGGTGATTTTTACCTTGGCAAAATTATCCAGATATTTGTTGTTATCCTCTTTTCAGGATACCTCTCATGGACATGTTTTATAATCACTAAAATGTATTTTAGATATAAATTAAATAGCTATCATTGACTGAGAATCTTCTATGTACTTCCCAAACATTGTTTTACTTTATCTTATTTTTAAAACATTATTTTACTTTCTCTTATTGTTTTTGTTTTAAAAAGATGGCCAGCCAGTAAATTATTAAATCAATATTTAAAAGGAAACAAACCAGTTTAAAAGTTGCCTGAAGTTTATTTACCTTCCAAGAGAACTCTATGAAATGAATATTATCAGTTCTATCTTACAGATGGTGAAACAGGCAAGAGAGGATCCTAAGGCCACAGAGCTACAAGTGACAATGACATGTCAGAGCCTAGACCTGTCACACACCAAGTCCAGCCTTGACTCCTCATGACCTCATTGTACTTACGTGGCAGGGGTATGGGTTTTTGATGGATTTTTCTGAAAGAAAGAATGAACACATTACAACATAATCAATACCAGTGGCCAATAAGAAATATCTAAAAATAAGAGAAGCATTAAAAATAAGCAAGGTAGGGCTGGGGATTTAGCTCAGTGGTTCAGTGGCCTGCCTTGCAAGCTCAAGGACCTGAGTTCAATCCTGGGTACCAAAAAAAAAGCAAGGTTCTTTCCCTTAGTTTTGACTAATTGACTAAGGTGCTATATTTTAGTTTAGTCTAAAAATTAATACTGATTAATTAGATTCATTCATAGGAAAATGGATACATATTGAGGATATACTCCTAAGTGAAATAAAGAAGTCACACATGTAAATACCGAATAGTTTCTCTGATGTGAAAAACTATAATAGTACCTAAGATCCTAATGAGATAATTGACAATGTGAAATAGGAGGAAAAGGGCTAAAGGTGTAGGGAAAATGGGAAGGGTAGGGGAAAGGTAATAAGGGAAGAAAACAATATGACAAAATGAAAAAATGGAAATAAAGTGTTTGCAAATGGGGAGGAGAGGAGGGGGTGAAGGGAGGGCAGGGACAAGGGGGAAAAATGAGAAGCAAGACCTGTCATGTAAAGGTACAAGATCCCAATAATGAATGTAATTGTACTGTGTACCTAAAATGTACCAATAAACTCAATAAAAGAAAAAAAATCTGAAAAAAATTAATACTGATTGTAAGTCTCTGCAGTTCTACACAGTTTAAATTGCTGAACACTTTTTACAAACCAATGAAATACTGGCTTTTATTCAGCCTTATAAGCCAGTGTCACTGTACATTGCAACAAAGCATGTGTGAATTTATACATAACAAGAGGAAGCTTCTTTGTAAAGGGAAAGAGTCTTACTTCTGGGAAGGAGGAAACACTGGAGACGGTACAGCTTCTTGTCTGTGACTAGACCCTCGGTGGCGTTCAGCAGGTATAGGCCTTTCTGGATTAGGAAAGGTCTTACATTAGGATTAAAGTGAAATCCCCACATGCAGCCATATCAATCAAGCAGAATCAGAGTTGGTCAGAGGTCTTCTCGGAAACCTGTCTTCTATCAAGTGTATGCCTTTGTCAGTCTGCGGCTATACATGGGCTGGTAGGATCAGAATTCTCAGTCAGCAGCATTACAGCTACACACTAGCACCTCTCTGCATATCCTTTGGCAGTGCACATGGAGTCCTAACCTATTGGGGCTGGAGCTTTAAATTTGAGAGAACAAGTGTGTGCCAAAAGAACGTGTCTCGGCTACACTTTGCACACTCCCCTTCTACTTTCCATGTAGCCTTCCCTCGGGTGTTATGATACACTAGTGTGCCTTCACTAATCATAAGATGTGTTTTAAGCAAATTATTACTGATAAAAGGCAAAATATAAGGATTTGTGGGGTCTCTCTTTTTGGAAAAAAGTATAAAGTTATCATTATAATAATGCCATCTTCACTGTCATTTCACTGTTTTCCAGAGTGCAAGAGGAAAGGTTGGAAAATGGGGATAAGCCTGAAATATAAGACTTGTATGTTGAAGGCTATAGGAGACTGCTTCTGAACCATTAATAAAAGTGATCACAATTATTTTAATGCCTTATTCTTCCTCCTGGTCTTCAGTAGTCTGCATGGGAGAAAGACTGAGAGTTATAGGAACCGAAAAGGAACAAAAGTAGTAAGAACTCAGATTAAAATACTGTGAATGGTAAGATAAACTAGCTTCCTGTGGTGTACCTCCTAGGGTGAACTTTGGAGCTCACAGGATTGTATTTCCACTGTGTGGCAGGTTACTTTTAGCTGCGTTAGATATATTGTTCATCTCTCTAGAACACCTGCCTAGCTTGTTCATGGCCTGGGTTTGATCCCCAGTAATATAAAATAGTAGTAACTACCAACCTTGGCAACTTCCAAAGGAGAAACAATAACCAAATTAGGTCCAAAAACCTTTGAACTTAGACCACACTTGCTGTGCCTCTGCTCTCCTTGAAGCTTCCTTCCTATGTGAGATAAAGCTGCTCCCTTACTTTGGGTTTGAAAGTCATTGCCTCTACTCTTGAAATAAATGCAAATAAGCTCAAAGAAGAGAGCAAAGGAGGAGGACACTCTAACATTACAGACCATACCATTAGCCCCCTTCTTGCCTAATTTTTGGAAGCTCCAAGTGCTATGATTTTTGCAAAGGTTGGTGTTTACTTCCAACAGAGGCTTAGAGGCCTTGAGGTTACTCATGCTCTGTGCACCCTGCACAACAGGCCAAAGAGACTGCAAGGAATGTCCATGTAAACTAAGGCATTCAAGGAAAGGCAGAGGAAAGGAAGACAGCAGAAAAGAAGGGATGTCTTAGAAATAACCTGGGCAAAAAGGATGTGAGAAGTGGAATGGAAAAAAATATATAATGGGACAATTAAAGGAAAGAGGTGAGTTACAGCATACCCTCGATGGATCAGAAAAGATCCATTGTCTGTCCTCAAAAAAACAGCAGCTACTGTCAGTATGACCACATTAATTTAGAAAATGGCGAGAACATTGACATTTTTAGCATTGGTACCTTCAAGTGTGGAATTAAATGGATGTGAGGCTTGAACATCTATATAGTATTTTGAGCGTTGATATTCTGTATGATTTTTACTTCTTTCTCTTTTTTCCTCAGTAAATATTTTTCAAATGCAAATACTTTTAAAATGGGAAAATTATAAAAATAACATGTTAAGTGTTTGAGTTATAATAAAACAAGGCATAAAAGCATTTTGAAGATGTACTGAAAAGACAGACATTTGAACTTTGAAAATTTAACAAAAGAATTTATTTAAATAAATAAATAGATTTTTTTTTTACAAAGGCATTGTCTTTCAGACATGTCCAGGGCCACGGCACTGCTTCCTGGCCAGTTACAGATGTATGAAATGAGCAGGTATTTGGTATGTGGAGGAGAACCTGCTCCAGAGACCCTACCCACTAAGCTCAATTTCTAAGCTAGCTTTGCTACTGACACCGCTCATTACAAAATGCAAGATTATTTTGTTTAGAAAATTCAATTTCATTTTTATAATTGCCTTATAAATAATGAAAGAAATTCAGATTTACACTTATTTATAAATCCTTAATTTAAATTACTTTTAGAGGAGACAGTTATCCTTTAAAATAATAAATTTACCTTCACGAACACTTGATGCATTCTGCTGAGAAGCAACTGGGGTCTATATATTTTTAAAAGATAAACATATTAAATATAGTGGAACATGGAAATAAAAGTCAAAGCAATTTATCAGATAAATATTTCGGGAAGTTTTCCTTGATGCTTAGATAACTTCCAATCACAACAAGAACAATTAAAAATACACAGTTCCCAGCCCTTTTTTTTTTTTTTTTT